GTATGTCTATGTATCTGTGTATATATTGAGTGTATATATATATACATGTATATACTTATATAAATATATATATCTATATGTATATATATATATATATGTATATATGTATATATATGTATGTATATTTTTACATACATATACATGCATACATACATGCATATATATACATATATATATATATATATATATAATACACACACACACACACATATATATATATATATATACATATAAATATATATATATATATGTCTATGTATCTGTATCTGTATATATATTGAGTATATATATATATACATATACATATGCACATGTATATATACATATATATATATGTATATATGTATATTTTTACATATATATCAATATATATACATATATGTATAAATGTATATTTTTACATGTATATACATATACATACATATATATATATATATATATATATATATTACACACACACACACATATATATATATATATATATTACACACACACACAAACACATATTTATATATATATATGTATGTATGCATGTATGTATGTATGCATGTATGTATATTTGCATGTATGTATATTTGTATATATATATGTTTTTATACATGTATATTTATATATATGTATATAATATATATATATGTATATAATATATATATATATATAGATATATGTATATATATTTGTATAATATATATATATTTGTATATAATATATATGTGTATATAGTTATTTCAGCCTTATGAATACTTTTTTATGAATTTTAACGTAGGGAGTTGAGCAACTAGTCATGGACGAAGAGTTGCAGGGGATTCTCCTTGAGTGTGCCAAGGCTCAATACTGCGGCGAGTTGGTGCATTTTCTCGTGAATATCTGCAAGGTGATGCCGCATTTAAAGTACACGGATAATTGTTCAGGTGGTGGGATGTTGGCTATTATCGACAAGTATGTGAGGACCAAGCAGGCCACAAGTCTGAACATCGAATCCGAATTGCGCTTACGGGTTCTCTTCTGCGCCTCAATTCTCAATGAAGAAATCTCAAAGTTGAATCACTCTTCCGTATTGAATATACCTCAAATGACAAAGTCATCTACAAGCCTGGGCAAAGTGTCCGTGGCTAGTAAGACTACCAACGGCTATACAGAAGTCGGTCTATCACAGCCACCAGATGCGAGAAGCGATGCTGAAAATACAGACAGCGTGACTGGCGCCCAGGACAATCTCTGTGCGAAATCAACAACCTCTGCAACGTCGAATAGCTCGGCGCTCTCGATACGAGATGAGGACTGCAGCAATTTGAATATGAGCACGACATACCATATTTTAACAATCCAAACTGAAATTTCTCACGAGGTTCCAGTAGGGAGAAAAAAAAGTACCGAAGATGTGGAAAGTGTCGACGGTCAGAGCTTCACACCGCAACCGAAGGATTTAAAGAATCCCCAAGTGAGGTGTAGTTCTAAAGCGGCCTACAACCTCGGCAAGGCCCTGGAGGAGACTGCCGTGAGCGTATGTGTGCTGCTGCGGTTTTCCGGGGTACTGGAAGCGACTAAAAAGGATCCTAGGTTTGTTGAGATAACACAGAGACGAGCCCGATTAGCGAAGAATAATATGGTCAAAATTTTGTAAATATAAACATTAGATGCCTCTTAATTCGAGAGCAAGTGAATATCATGAGCCACTAAGAATTCGT